GAAGGCTAACGGACTGGCAGAGTCACTTATTCAGTGACAAATCCCTCCCTTATTTAGGTTTTGAGTTTATTCCCACAATTCTGCAGGTACTTCCCATTAAAAAAAAGATTAATTCACTATGGTTGAAAGTAAACCCACCTAAAAAAAAAACCTTAGGTGGGTAGTCCTACTATTATGAAAATCTTGATCCTTTTCAATATCTTACTCCTCATACTTTCTAAATTATACAGCATAATAACTGGAGAGTGATTCAGAGGATTGTAATTTAATGTTATAGAATATATTCTTTTTGAAGAACATAACCAACTTTTTTAGTAGCTTATGTAGCTTTCATATAAAAAAACATGTTGCATTAAATGAAGCCCTTTTAAAACATGTTGTTTACCTTTTGTCTTTTAGGTCAGTAGCAACAAATAGCTCAGGTAGTGACATTATGATATTATAAAAAATTGGAAAGGGAGGTAGTGGAACGAGTGGTTGTTGGCATGAAATGTTTATTTTGAGAGAATTCTTGGCATTTTTGCCCCTCATCAGCATAATGAGAATTCATAGAAGATGGGAGTATTAATGTACCTGCTGAGGATTAATGTCATTATAGAGCATTTGTTAGTGAATATGTTATGGCTAGTCCCACAAATGTAGTCATTGAAATACTAACACTGTGTGGATTGGCATAAGTACTCCTCTCGTCCCCTCGATGGCTTGTATTCAAGGGAACGGGGCACCGATCATCTGGGTCTCTCTGCATCTTTATCAAGAACAGTCAGTAGGAAGGCATCGCAAGGTGTTGTTTGCTCCTTGAGTCCTCGCTGATCAGACGGGCAGAAATTGTGGGTGCTTTCAGGACTGAGTTATTTTTATTTTAATTTATTTTTTAGAGAGATGGAGGGTGGGGAAGAGAGAGAGACAAAGAGACACAGAAAAACAAAAACTTCGATTTGTTGTTCCACCTACTTATGCATTCACTGATTGATTTTTGTACGAACCCACAACCTTGGTGTGTGGGAATGATGCTCGAACCAGTGGAGCTACCCAGCCGGGGCTGAGCCCAAGTTGTCTCTGAACAGTTCAGGGGAAAAGGTCACATAGTACACACAACAACAACAACAACAACAACAACAACATCCTGCCTACTGTTCCTCACTTTTGGAAACTTCGTCGTTAAAGTTATTTTCAGACAGTACCATGATGTGCTGCTGTCTGGTGTGTGAAATGTGTTTAATATGGTCCTTCAAAGCTTATGTGTCATAAGAGAAGTAAAATGATAAATAATACACATATAGAATGGGACAAAACTATAGACGCGTAACGGAGTGAATTTTCAGGAGAAGCCAGCTCCTTTTAATAAGCTTGATTATCGTATTGCTTGCTGTCTGTGGCCCCAGTGGGTGAACTGAGCAGGTTGCTGTGCTGAGGGAGCACGTGGGAGGGCAGGCACCACGCTGCCAGAGTAATGATGTCCTGTCCTTCCCGGAAGGACAGGAGAGAAGGCAGACAGACGTCAAGTGGGCAATTTCTATTTCTTCACATGCTCAAAATGTTCGCACCTACCTATTTTCTCATTTAGGAGGCATTTTGTGTTTCATAATTTCATTCTTTCTGAATCCTCTTACTTAACACACACTATTTATTTAGGGGTTCATAAAGATTTTCTTCTGTGTAGAGGAAAAGAAATGCAGTTGCCTGCTGTTTGCAGCTTGTTTCTGAATCCATTCGGGTGGAAAAGGAAGGAATAGAAAGACCATTTCTGTTCTCACTGTCAGGGGCGTCCCACCTTTTGTCATCTCTGGGCCACACTGGAAGAAGAAATTGTCCTGGGCCACACATGAAATACATCATGACACGTGATCACAGACAATTCTCGGTGTTTTGAGTAAATTTATGATCCCGTGTTGGGCCGCATTCAAGGCCATCCTGGGATGTGTTTGGCCTGCAGGCCACAGGCTGGACACCACGGGTTTAATTGGTCTCCTTAGTTGTGCAAACTCTTCATTTATGCATTGATTTATCGATTGATTCCGTATTCATTGACTGCTTCTCGTATATATCCTTGCCTTGGGGATACAAAGTTGAAAGGCCGAGTCAGTAGGCACCTGGAACCTTCTCGGTCCTGGCTGAATTCAGTGACAATAACGTGTTTATCTAGAACTCTAAAGTTCTGTCATCTTCCAAAGGTGGCCTGGGGAGGTTTATGTTTGCAGAGCAGCCTCAGAGTTTCTGAGGCCCCGAAGGCGGCCCGGAGAACGTAACACCTGTTTTTCAAGGCATTTTCCATTGCATTAATTTCTCTAGTGAGCTTCGCTACTTTGGGCACTATTGGCACACTTTCTAAGAACTAAGTCATTCCACCCACTTCTGTATTTGCCAAAACTCGAGGTTGAAGAGTGGGCAGGAGACTGAAGTGGGACGACCTCACGTCTGCTAGGAACTCTCAGGGGCAGGTGCCGCGGCCGACTGCACTCCCCTGGCCTTTGCTTTCAGATGCCTGACTCTATTTTCATTACACTAGTTGTGCTAGGAAGGATCTTTGAATTGAAGCATCTTAAGAAGCCTTATAAGGTGGTGGGTAGCAGTTTCACTTGATGAAACTGTACATAAACCTTTGGGAAGATTGGCACCCAAAACCCAAAGGTCATTTTAAGAGCATTCTTCTGAATCTGTGTACACAGTATTTTCTGATACTGTTAAGTTCTACTATGGGTGTGTTTATCCTACAGATATCCCTTTGTACCTTGATATGTACTAGCAAATGTAGTATTTATTTTCATTTCAAAATGGGGTTGGATTACTTTAATTTTGGGAGGCAACATGCCAGAAACCAAGATTTTCAAGATCTGCGTCTCCCAGTCATTTATGTGTCAACTCGTTTCAGCGGAGGGTCTCACTAGCTATTTTATCTACAACATTGATGTCATTTGGTCTGCTGCCTCCGACATCCCAGTGCTGTTCCCTGTGTGCTCACTCTAACCAGATTCGCCTTTATTCCTCTAACTCTAATGGTCTTCTAACCTAAGAAGGGTGTGGATTCTGCTTCCTCTTCAAGGCCAGCCCCTTCCTCTGGACCCCTGCCCCGTTCCCCGCCTCCTTTGGGGTCCATTCCATCCTCTCTTCCTCCCTCTTGTACTCTCGGCCTTTCTCTCTTACTGCATCTTTCAGCTCATCTGTGTGGACTTCCATCAGCACTTACCCCTCCCACCAACTGTCATTCTCCTGCTTCTCTTCCACGGCTCTGCTGTGGCCGCCTGCACCATTTCACTGAAGCTGCCCTCGATCCAGGGGGCCAGTCACTACCTAAGTGTCAAATCCAAAGGTCTGCTTTTCATTTCTTGTTTTTATTCCTCTCATTGTATCTCATGGTCCTTCTCTCTCTGCCTTTCTTCCTTGGCCTTAGACAACAGATCTATTTCCTCTGCTCATTCTAATTCTCTCATTATATTCATGTTCCTTCTGTGATATCACCCACTAATGTAATTTTTGCCACTTTCTGTGTAATGAACACTATGTTTTAATCAGGTTTCTCCCCCAAGCTTTATCCTCAAGGACATACGGCACCCCTACCTGAATCTTCTACACCTCAATTTCTCGTGCCCCGCACTAAACCCGCATCTTCCTTATTAAACTTGTTCATTCCCCTGTATTCTCGACCTCAGTTGTCACTCCTGTCCACCCGCAGGTAGTCACTTTCCAAGTTGCTTTGTGTCTGGATGCTTCCCAAGTGCTAATTCTTCTCTCCTTCCCCTTTCCTACCTACTTCCACTGTCCTGATTCGCACCTTTCCCCTCCTACCTAAAACCAAACCTGCTCCGCTGGTCTCTCTGCCTCTGCTCTGTCCCCCTTGAATCCACCCAGAGACAGTGACACATGCATCTGAAACACAGATCTAACCCAGCAGTGGCTGTCTGGAAGCTGGGAACATTCAGAGATCTGGGACGTGTGTATAAGGTTATGGTCTGGCCCCAGGCTTCTTTCTTGGCCTCACCCCCCAGCGCTGAATTGCACCGTGTAGTTTCTTTCCACTGTCTTTTCCCTTGTCTGTGTCCCATTACCCGCTTGGCTAAGTTCTACCCAGCCTGAGGACATGCCTGCATCCCTTGCTCTGGGAGGCCTTCCCTGACCTCGCCATTTCCGGGCTTGGTGCCTCTGCTTGACATGCGTGTCAGTCACTGCCCCCATCTCGTTGCCCTGCTAGGCCTGCTGTGTGTGTGTCTCAGCCCACACAGTACGTCCCTGTACTTTCCTTAAAGACAGAGACGGTGTCTTACTTATCTTTGTAGCTCCAGTGTCTAGCACAGGGCTTAGCATGTAGTAGATGTTCAATATACAGTTTTTAAATTAAAAGTTGTAATGACAGTAGATCGGCATGGTGTTTACAGAAATGGGCAGAAGTAATCTATGCACAGGAGTCACCTTTGGGCGGCATGAAGGGAGCTGATAATGTTCTGGGGTTCGATGTGTTGCACTTGGGCTGTGAAAATCCATCGTGCTGGCCACCTGTCATATGTGTTCCTTCCTGTATTTATGTTACACGTTGAGAGCTTTTCTCAAAAATCAGTTTGACATCTTATCCATAGATAGTTTCCAATACAGGAATTTTTTTTCTTTCAAGCTGTAAGAGTTTTTACAGGATGTTAGTTCAGATGTGCCAAGAACCAAACTGCTGCTGTTCCTTTTCGTGAAGGAAGAGGAAGATGACAGAGCATTAGCGAAATATGTGTGGGACGCCTGGCCTTCCAGAGAGGGCCCCAAGGCCAGCCCTGATGGACAGGCTTGCAGCGACCTGCGCGCCTGTCACACTTAACCACAGGGCCACATGCTAATCGTCAGTGAGCTCTGGGCCTGTCTGCAGTGACGGGGAGACTTCAGCTCGCATGTGACCATGAATAATTCATAAATATAGTTATCGGGAAATTTGTGGTCATCATTAGCATTTTAATGAAAAAATGCAGTCATTATTCTCAATCTCTGTTTTGTCTCTGCTCTTTTCCCTCCCCGCACCGCAGCCACCCCTCCCAGTCTTTCCCAAGTGCTCGGAAACGGCGAGGCCCCCGCCGATGTGCTGACTGGTCGCTATGGGCAGACGGTCCGCGGAGGCTCACCGTCGTCCAGGCAGCTCCTGTACGTATGGGACTGGTCTCTTCTCTCTCTGTTTGCCTTTAATGTTTCATTAGAGAGTATGGCAGGGCGTGAATTGGTGAAGGTTTATAACATTTCACTTGACAGTGTTTAGAAATGCAAGATAGCGAATCGCTCTCGGGTAAGTTTTTAATATTGAATGATGAGACATGTTATCTAAATTAGGATTTTAATAATCCTGTGGCCCTCTAAGACCAGGAGAGCATATCAGCCATCTTCCTTCAAAGCTTCCCATCATATAGAGGCTTTGGGATTTTTTACCTTTCCTTTCTTTTTGGTCATATATTTAACATTTGCACCAATATGAACACCATAAATTAAAAACATTTCCCCGTGATCATTTTAGTTCTTTTGAAATTAAAAAAAAAAAAACCTGTGGGCCCAGAAGAGAGGTCTTTTGGGTATGTTGTTGTTGAGTATGTGTTAGGGAGAGAGTCCGCAATTCTTATTTAATGTTCTCCGAATGGGGAGACTCCCATCCCCTCAGTGGGGGCCTTCAGTGGCCCAGCACCGCACTCGCCCCGCATCACTTAGGAGGAAACTGATTGTTGACCATTTCATTAATGATCTTTCCTATTTCTGTAAAGGAGAGTTTGTCTCGAATGTATTTTCTTGTTCCCTTTAGTCTTTCTTTCAGCCTTGGGCCAGCAGCTGTTCAGATACTTATTTTTGTTGCTTCCCTTTGAATTTCTGGAATTTTGGCTTTAAATCAGGGGTGCGTTTGGGGTAATTTCCCAGAGTGTCTTTGCTCCCACATCCTGTCCATCATGATGCTTGTTCATATGCACCTTTAAGTCACCCCCCCCCCCCCCCCGCCCCGGGTGCAGTTCAGTTTTTTCTTCATAGGAGGATTCGAACCACCTTCAAGTCCATACCCAGACAACCGCTTGCTTCTAACGTCCCCCCAGCAGCCAGACCATTGGGAGCAGCAGTGGGAGGGTAGAGCCAGCAACAGTATGTGCATTCAGACCAGCAGGGTTAGAGCCGCAGGGTTAGGCCTTTGCACATAGACCTCACCGTCCTCCGAGGGCACTGTGGCTTTACTCTGAAGTTGGCAGCTTTCATAACAGAGCATCATCAGAAGTTGACGCTTTATACTGTAGACCAGAGGTCAGCAAACTGTGACTCGGAGCCAGCCCGGGCCTGTTTTTGTAGGAGCTCACAGTGGCTTCTATAGTTTTAAATGGTTGCATTTAAAATGGTTATATAGACGCCTACATACTCTCTATTTTGCCTCTCGCCCCTTAGAACCTAATACGCCTACGGTCTGGCCTGCTAAGAAAAAGTTTGCCTGTCCCTGTAGAGGAGAGTTGGAAGCCATGTTCTATGATCAGACCCTATGAAAGAATCATTTGACCTTCCAAAATGCCTGTTTCATATGGTCTGACCTAATACATATTGAGGAAATTCTTCTTTCAAATGGCTAAAATTCTGAAGTTTGGGCTCATGGTGCGCACAGAGTAAATGTACCCGGGGAATTCGCAGACACGGACGTGCTTGTTTTTCTCCGTCTCGGTGGGCGAGGCATCAGGCTGTCCTCCTCCGCGGGGTTCCTCCGCCGGCTCGTGGCACGGAGGCTTCTGCTGTCCCGTAGTGGAAGGGAAGCTCTTCTTTCCCACTTGCCTAATTTTTTTCACCCAGAGTTCTCTAGAGAGAACTGTCTTTTTATCTTCCCCTCCCTGGGTGCAGGGATGTGCTGGCCATCCTCTCAGGCCTCTGTTGAGCCTGCGGCACCTGTGCGGCACCTGTGCATCTTTCTGGTGGGAAGGCAGGTGAGTGGCTGCCTTTGCCACGGGCCACCCGCGTGGGTCCCTTGGTCTGCAGTGTGTCTGCGTGACACATTGCTTGGAATGTCCTTCTGTGTCATTTTCCATATTGTCGATCCCTTAGTCCAGTGTGTGAAAGCCATCACTTACTTATGTGGTTTGTTTTCCACTCTCCCCTCTCCTCTTCGTACCTCCTTCTCTGGATGATTAAATAAATCTGCTTGTTGAAACCTCTGGCTGACCCTCTTTAGTGGCCACTCTTCCTGGTAGGAAACATGAACTCAGCTGCTCTGTGTCCTGTCACCTAAGAGGAGAAATCTAAGTTGACTTGGGGCCTCTGGGCCAGGCCAGGGTCTGAACAGGGCCACATTGTTCCCAGGGAAGGAAAACTATTTCGGGGGAAAAGCTCTCTGCAGTTTATAATTTTGTTATTAAACGTGGTCAGAAGCATCAGCCAGGAGTTGGTGGGACATACTGCTGTGCTCTGAGCTGTTCTTGAGGCTCACGTGGCAACTTGGAGTTTGGATTTTCTCCCCTTCTGTTTTGGGATCACTGCTCTGCCTCACAAGGCTGTCCTGTTTTGGGACAGGCTGCTGTCCTTCAGTGAGTGTGGAATGGTACCCATTAAGCACCGAAATAAGAAGGCAGGAGCTAGAGCCGACCTCTCTTGACTTTTCAACAGATATTTGTGCTTATGTTAAGACTGGAGCTAAATTCCCCTGGGGATTGTTCATTGGGTTGCACCCTTAATTATTCTCACTTGCACCCATCCGTTCCTTTCGTGACTGCGGCTGCCGCTCTGACCCAGCCCTCAGGAGCTGGACTGTTGCAACAGTCTCCAGGCTTCTAGCCTGAAGTCTCCCTCCTTCAAATTAGATACATTCGTACAAGCCGAACTAATCTCACTGCCGAAGCTAGCTTCGATCATGCCACTTCCCTGCCAAGAAAGTTCAGCGCATCCCCACTAGTCCAGAAGGTCGCCCTGACATTCTAGTCCTCTGCATTTTCTTTCACTGCTCTTTGAACACCCATTACTCAGGATTAAAAATGGTTACTGTTATTGTTACTGTTAGCAGTGCTACTCCTCAGTAGATGTCTTAGGCTGGCCTGAGTGGGTGCTCCTGCCGAGGCACGCCCTTCGATTCGGGTCAGTGTGCCATCGCGCATGTGTTCCCGCTCTGGAACGTGGATCTGTCTGTAGACGACCTGCTAAAACCCCGCTCTGGCTTCAGGGTGCAGCAGAGGTGCCCTCTTTCCTAGGAAGCCTCACTGGGTTCCCTTCTCTGGCAGCACATGCTTCTGTAGCTTTTAACTCCCTCCTGAAGCTTGTATCCCAAGTTGCTACTCTTTACGTATGCTTTGTCTGAACTCTGACACTAAGCATGTTCATCTCCCTTCTCTCCTCCATGTGTGAGGGCAGTGCCTTGTCTGTGGTCAGTGCTCATATATGTGTGGAGTCTCCTTGGGCCTGGGGGTGGCCCTGGACTGTCACTGTCCCCAGGAAGCCGTTGCAGAGCACTTCCCAGAGCTCTGGGCAGAGCCTGTCAGATCCCAGGCCGAGTGGGCGGGCGTGTGTCCTCAGGGCTCCCAGGGCCCCCTCCGCCTTTCCTTCCCCCTCACTCTGCCCGCGGGTGTTTCCGGTCTTTCTGCACTTGAGAAATTGCCCTTTGAAAAGCTGAAACAGTAACAGGCACGTATGATTATTTCTTTTGGCCTTCCCTTCTTGACTTCCCCATGCTCACTGATGAAAGGTATTGTTTCCTTTGTGGTTCTACTTCATCGTGTCCTGATTTTACCAGAAGGTTTCATGTCAAACTGGATTACCTTGGAAAGGTTCATTTTATTATGCCCCTTTCACAGATGAGAAAATGAGGCTTGAAACAACGAAATAAGCTGTCAGAGCAGAGCTGCAGTGTGAGCCCAGGTGTACCTGCTCCCCACATCTGGGTCCTTTTTCCCACCAGTCTTTCTGCTCACCTGCTGACCACTCAGATGACCCCTCATTTAGGTGCCGTCTACTGACCTGTTCTCAGGACCGCAGCTCGTAGTGACGTGGGTCTTAAAGGCCTAAAAGGCTCAGCAGCAAAGGAAGCTGACACCTCTCTCTCGCCTCCTCTTTTACCCATTATTTAAACCTGGTAACCGCAGGTAATATGAAGGCCGCAGAAGAGCACTTCCTATAGAAAAGGTAGTAATACAGAAACAGTAACGTCATGCAGGTAGCACATCTTTAATGTAGAGGATTTTACAAAAGAAAAAAGTTCTCAATGCTACGCACCAAGAGATGACCGCTTTTAACATTTTGTTGAATACTTTTCTGTACTTCAAATGTTCTGTCTCCATATACTTATTTCTGTTTACTTGCAGAAACAGGACAGTGTTCTCCGTCGTGTTTACTGAACCACGGGTCACTCATAGCTCTTTAGACTGTTACACTTACTTTCATAGCAGCACACAGGTAGCCGCAGCCCGTGATGTTCAGAGAAGGGTCGCGCAGCCCGAGGAATGCAGGAAGGCTGACTCACCTCGGTACGAGGAGGAATTTCATGGTGGTTAAAAATGCTGGTCAGCCCTGGCTGGTGTAGCTCTCAGTGCACTGAGTTCTGGCCTTCAAACCAAAGGGTCACTGGTTTGATTCCCAGTCAGGGCACATGCAAGGCCTGAGTTGCAGGCCAGGTTCCCAGTTTGGGGCAGGCAAGAGGCAACCACACATTGATGTTACTCGCCCTCTCTTTCTCCTTCCCTTCCCCTCTCTAAAAATAAATAAATAAAATCTTTAAAAAATGCCGGTCAGGACCCATGTGATGGATTTGCACCCTCTGCTGATGGGTCTCGGTTCTCAGTGTGAAGAGCGCTGGCCCAGGGTCCAGCGGCGCCGGAGGGCGTGCCTGGGCGGCAGCGGAGTTTGCAGGGCGCGTGTGGTGGGAGCTCTGAACTTCGCCAGGGCTTGAGGAAACATTTGGAATTTTAGTTAGGCCAGGAGCTCGAGACCAGTGCTCAAGATCACTGCCAGCCAGTGGGTCTTGCTGCCCAGAGCAGTCAGGGTATGACGTGGTGTCCCCAGAGAGGGACTTCCTGCTCTGGTCTCAGCTGGGTTTCCTGGTGTGGGCTGGGGTCCTGTGGGATTGTCCAGATGCCGGGGATCAGAGCGAAGACCTCTGATGCCGGGGAGGCTCACAGTTTTAGTGAGAAAATTCTGTGCACGAAGAGAGGTTA